AAGCAACTGGGAGCCCTCAAGTTTTCTAGGTAGGGGAATGGAAAGGACAATGATTCAACTGCTGATAGAAAAGATAAATTTACAGGAGGCTGAGCAAGGGAAAAGGATTACTGGTTATCCTATATCCTATATAATAAAGGGCTAATATGTAAATTGACTGACCAGTCAATATGAAGCACACTAACCACCAAGGGGCAGACGCTCAATGCAGGAGCTGCCCCCTGATGGTCAGTATGCTCCCACAGGGGAAGCGCCACTCAGCCAGAAGCTGGGCTCACAGCTGGCAAGCGCAGTGGCGGTGATGGGAGCCTCTCCCGCCTCCGCAGCACTAAGGATGTCCGATTGACCGGGCCTAAGCTGTCAAGCAGACATCCCTCAAGGGCTCCCAGACTGAGAGGGCACAGGCCGGGCTGAGGGACTCCCCCCAACCCACATGCATGAATTTCATGCACCAGGCCTCTAGTTATAAGAAAAGATGGATCAGATCTAAGGTGATGACAAGATAGATACCAGAGGGAACAGGCATGGGAAGATATGCAACCTCTTTTCCAATACTGACCAGGGAAAGAGAATGAGAAATGTCTAAGCTTCTAGCTTTGTTATTAAATGAATTGTGGTTACATTACCCAAATGAATAAAATTAATTGGCTTTGTTTTCCTCTTTGTTTTGCCTACTAAGAAGCTCAAAGCCAAATACATGGCCTATTTCTAATATATGGCAAGCATTCATGTGCAGCCTGTAAATCTACAGTTTATTTTCTTTTAACAGGATTTTAATCTGTATTTCATAGGTCACGTCTAATTATTTTAGAATGAGGCAGAAAATAAATTAACAGATAAAAAGACTGAGACCAAGCCACGGACAGTTAGACAAAGTAGCTGGTTCAGGGATATAACCTTCAGGCTGCCAACCCAGGGCATTCTCCTCACCCTTCTTTCCCACCCTACCAAAGGCCATATCCCATGACAGAAGCTGAAAATGCCAGATTTCACTTTCTCAACCTCCCTCACAAGTAGCAGTGGCATGAAATCCGTTCTAATTAATGAAACTGAAGAAGTCTCCAAGGTGACCTTCTGGAGAGGACTCCTCTCTGTTTAGATGAAGTTGTAAGTAAATAAACTCCTTCCCTACCTATCTTACATAGGCATGCCGTCTGGTGCTGCAGCAACCACTTTGCAAACATGAGGCAATGAGCCTGGGACTTTTGATAAGCCAAAATACTAAATATAGAAGAAGAAAAGGATGCAAAGAGTATAGGTTCTTAAATTATCATTAAGATGCTGCACCAGCCTTAGAATCTAGACAAGAAGAAGTCTTATTGCTAGACTTCTTGCTACTGGAAAATAAGCTCTATTATTTAAGCCATTTTAAATTGAGTTGTGTTACTTGCCAAAGGCAAACTAATTGAAAAAGAGGTCATCACAAGGACAATTTCTGACAGGTTTATTTTTAACTGCTGAGTTAACAATATTATTATTATTGAGATGAGAATAACCCAAACATACTACTAGTATGGTCAAGAAGAAAGCAATAAGCTAATAAAAGCTTCTGGGAGCAGTTAAAGATAAAAACAGAAAATTATTAATAACATTTTAAAAATGTCATCACATGTTAGTAAGGGCACTTCTTAGAGGCAGGAACAGAGGAAGAAAAGCATAACTGTACAGAAGTACTCTAAGGTGGAGAAAATTAGGGAGACTTCCTTTTTTGGCAATGTTATAGACAAGGTAACCCAAAAATCCTTCCCAATATAAGAGAGTCCAAAAAGTCTGGGTAAAGTGTAAGAAACATCTGTTTAAATGCATAGCTAAGTTCACAAGAAAATAAAGGACCTCTCAAATGGCCAAAAATCAAGGAACCTAAAAACCAGAGCAGAAAGTGTAAACTGCTAATGTACAGAAACCTAGAGTTTGGAGGGCTAGGGTAGGGGGTGGGTTGTATGTGTGTAAAGGATACCTGTGCCCTTTGGAATGTAATAGAAAAAGAAAAGAGGAAGGAAATGACTAACCTAATATTTTCTTTAAAAAACACCATCTTGAAGACAATTACAACTATTATTTTCAACCTCTTATACTTTACCCTTTATGAGAGCTATTTCCAGGATTAAATGTACATTTTTAAAAACATGTCCATATTACATATTTACATATCACAAAGGATTTCCTGGATATTTTACCACAAAGACACAAATCATTTCTCCCAAAAAAACACACATTGACCAATTTTTCAGCCATTATGAAAAGATCCATCATTAAATCAAGTACTCAAGTCCCGTATATTTGTAACCATACTAAAAGGTTTCCAAATCTTGGGACTTTTTGGTAAAATTTTTATCATTAGGGTCATTATAATATTCTTCTAGTGACTATGTTACCAATAGTTTCAAAAATATCACATAAGCCCTAGTCAGTGTGGCTCAATGGTTAGAGTTTAGCCCCACGGACCGTTTTTTAGGGTCATGGGATGGATTCCTGGTCAAGGACACATACTGGGTTCAGGTCCAGATGTGTGGGGGAGGCTACCAATCAATGTGTCCTTCTCACGTGTTTCTCTCTCCCCCTCCCTCCCTCCCACAATCTCTAAAAAGAAATCAATGGAAAAAATATCCTCGGGTGAGGATTAACCAAAAAGATACATCACATAAAAATGATCTATCATCTCTGAGCTAATCTTATGGGCCTCTATATTACAGATTTTTTAAATCATTGCATATAAATGGTAAATGGAACCTGCAAAGGATGTAATGTCTGGGGCGTCTACAGACTAATATGGTCTCATATTATAAAGGCAGGTAAAAGAAATTACAGGCCACAGCAAAAAAACAACAAAAACACACACACCATGAAAACCTCTAAAGGTCCTCCACTGAGTTTACCTTCCTCTACTAGTCTATTTGCTTCAGCTTCTTTGAAAAGTGAAGACATATTGCCTTTATTCATCTTCACATTTTCATGTTGGCTTTATGAATGGGACCACTCAATTCCATTAAGCCACCTCCATCACTCAATTCAAGTTCATCTTTTTTCAAAAAGTCTCTTCATCCGTGGACAATCCAAACAACCCAAGAAACACAAACACATAATATATATAACCAACACAAGGGTCACACTTGTCTCCACTGCATCCCCACATTTATAGAAGGTATACCTTTTAACCTAGTGTTTACACAAAACCATCCTAAATGCTGCTTTATATTGCGGTGTATCTGGAATGTTTTTCCCACAACCTATGTGCGATGGTTCAAGACTAAGCATTTATTCTACAAATAAGACCACCACATGCAGGTGGAAAATAACCAATTGTCCGGGATCAAGAACCCAAGTGTGAAAGCACTTCACTTGCTTGGTTCTACCCCTCCCACTGACAAAGGGAGACGGTCTAGTGAACCTTGTCTAGTCTCGGGGGACAGAAGAGCCTCCGCAGAGCACTCTGGGGTCCGCGGGGAATCAAGCACGAGTTAGCAGAGAAGGGAGGCTCCGAGGGGCGCGCTGCATTCTGGGACTCGTTTCCACAGTTACCCACGTGCACCCAATCCAACCGCGACTAGGACTACAAGTCCCAGAATTCCATAGGACCGCCTTCCCCTTCACACCCGGCAACCGGAGCCAGACCCTAAAGGAAACCCCTAACGCGCAGGGGAAGGTCCGGCCTCCCAGGGGCTACGCGGGGTCTCAGACCCTGAGCTCCCTTGCAGGGACGCGGGTCCCGAGGCACCTGGCGACCAAATATTAGAAAACTGCGTCACAGCCTGCCAAATCCAGGGACTGCCGGGGACCTCGACACCTCCCCTGCGCAGACCACCCTCCACAGGGCCTCCAGGGCCCGACCT